ATCCTGGGTAAAGGGCATGAGAAAATAAAGGGAAGGGAAGTAATCGCCATCATTTTTAATTTCGTCCTTAAAAATAAATGTTTCAGTGAAAGTAGCTTTATCTTCAAATTATATCTGAGAAAACGAAAGCTCTGAGAGTTTACCTAATCTGCCATCGGCTGCACAGTGCCTGAAAAGAGATTCATTTTGCAAAGACTAACAAGGTGAGAGAGAAAGGATGACTGCCAGGAATCTAGCTTTAAGGGCTATATTACACCAGCAACTTTTTCGTAAAATACATGCAGGACAATAACCTTATTTTCTCTCATTAGTCCATGTCCTCATTCGTTGCTGCTCTCCTCAGATTTCTTCGTTTCCAAATGTCTCCCTGCTTTCTCATGCTGCTGGTGTGCTCAGCCAGGAATGCCGCTCCCTGCCCTTCCCCAACCTTCACTCGTCAGTACAGCAGATAAACACCTACCCATCCTTTAAGCCTCAATTTAAATTCGCCTTGTCTGTCCACCACAAGGCATAATTGAACATCATTTCTCTATGTTCAGACACATAAAACCCTCATTATATTGTGTTTTACTTATTTATTTATCAGACTTCCTCTCTACCTGTAGTCTCTGAACAATTTAACATGCAGATTAATCTACCTCACTGCCTCTCTAAGCAAGGTCTATTGACCAGCTATCAACATCATCTGAGAACTTACTAGAAATGCAAATTCTCAGGCCCCATCCTAGACATAGTGAATTATAAACTGAAATGGAGCTCAGAAATCTGAAGCCTCAGGTGAATATGAGAAATCTTTTCATTTAGCATATCTTCATTATTATCCCTGCTAACCTAATTATGACTGTCACCTCTACTGCTTAATGAATCCAGTGTATGATAGCTCTGTGCATATGATCATGATTATGCAAAAAACCCCATAAAATTCAAATACTTTTTATCATATAAGAATTGAAAAATTGCAAGTTACACTTTATACAGAAAGATGATACTGGAATTCATTGACTTTANACAATGAAAAACAAAGACAAACTATATTACTAAGTGAAAGAAGACAGCCTGTAAAGGCTACATACTGTACAAACTAGCAGGTGGCTCCAATGGGAATATTTCAACTCAAAATGCATTAAGATTTCATAACCTTTAAGAATTTTCAATAGAATTGATTTTAACTATGTTAAACCCTTAGCAAACTTGAGATGAGTACTACCAAAGATAACTTCTTTACTGTAGTGAAAAGGAAAGCATTTCCAAGATGAGGTCTAAGAGAAACTCCTGATAAATTGAGACAACAGGTAAGATTTTCCAACCATCCTAAGGTTCACCCAAACCCCATTTATTTTTGTCTCTCCTCAGAGTTTTAGAGCTGTGGACACCTTCACTTCTGCCTTAGACTAAGAAAACAAATCCACGAATTCAAAGTTTTTTGACTCCTAATTAATCTCTTGTGAGTCAAATTTAGCAAAATTCAGTTTATGTTCAAAGAGAGCTAAACATTATACACATTCATTCATTCATTCATTCATTCAATAAATATCTTCTGAGCACCTTCAATCTGCCCATCCCTGTTTCAGACATTGCAGACACAAATCCCTTCCTTCATGGAGTTTTATTTTGAGTAGGAAATAAAAATGATTACATCTGAATGATTATAAATATCAGAGAGTAATATATTGATTTCATTATACATTATAAGTCATGTATATATCACATGTATTAGATTATGTTTTGTTATATGTTCTATTATGTTATATACTATTTTATTTTATGATATTTAGAAAAAGAATATCAGGATGCTCCTCTCTCAAAAGCTTCATAATTTGGGGTCAGAACTTAAAAATAATAATGAGGTTGTGTAGATTCTTTTACTGTAAATTTTTGTAACTCTAGAATTACTCACTCTAGTCCTTCATTCCAATCACCTATAAGCTGTATTGTCACAAAAAAAAGAAATCACTCTAGAGCTAACTTTTCATTCCTAATAGTTATTTTACTTCTCACTCCTAAAAATAAATGTTGTTTTTTTTAAGTTGAAAGTCATTTCACTCTGACAGTTCAGGCCAAAGATTTAATGAGAAAAGATTGAAATTTATAGATAAAGTAAACATTTTGTGCTTCTGTTTGAAACAAGGATATTATCATTGTCCTGGATGTTCCTCTAAATATTGGAAATTAAGAACTAATTTTATAATAAATTTTTATAGGTGAGAAATAGATACCAAAATCTACAGAGAAATTTTTTTCTTAAAAAATCCCAAGAAACTAGTAAAGATAGAATTCTTTTGTAATCTCCATAAACAACTCAGCACTTTTTGATATATTGGTTCCAGTTGGTACCCTCAATTAAATCAGTTCTGATAAGAGAGGATTGGGAGGAAACAGAAATAGGGAAAGAATTCCTCCGTGCTTCATTTTTCTGCCTAATTTATTTCCTTTTATATACTCATCTGACCCTAACCATCTCATTTCGACCCTAAATTATGAACAAAGATTGTTCACTGGTTTAAAGTCACTTAATTTTGCCCTGGCACTTGCAACTGAAAGAAAAATATACGTGTATCTCTAAAGAATTACACATTGTCCATTTATTTGAGAGACAAATAGGTCTGCCTTTTACAAAGCTCAGCCAGAGCACCACTTAGAACTACGTTATGGGCAGAAAAGGATCTGGGAGGGAGCCAGAAAGAACAAGAGAAGCAATCTACTTGAGCTTGTGAGCTAGCCAGAGTCTATATGAGAAATCTGAGGAATGACTGCAAGCAAGAAGTGAATGTTTGCTGATGAGCATATTTTATTTTTTTCCTTTGAAATAAAGTTAAAAATTCACTAATTCTCATGTGTAGAGCTAGAGATGGGCATGATTAGCTTGGTCTAAAGAAGCTAGTGCTTATATAGAAAAACAAAGCCCTTTGATCTGCACAAAGCTGAGGAATCATTAAGGCAGCTTAAAATGGCAGCCTTTTGCATTTTTTCCCTATTAGCATTTCTTCCTGTCCAGTCCTTTCCTCCTAGAATAAGGAACTCTTTTTTTTTCCCCTCTCTCTCCTGTTTCTGTCATCTTGGGAGCTAAAACCAACAAAACTAATCTCTTCCTCTTCATAAGATCAATAAAGCAAATTAGACATGACATCGAAAGCACTTAAAGGAATCTAAGATCTGTTTTTCAGAGTGCAATACTATCTCATGTCTTTAAGAATTGTCAATAAATGTAAATATGCAAACATATACACAGCAGCAGCACATTATGTAATATCATGAGTTTAAATCTTTGTAACTAACAATGTGAATGTGAACTTTAACAATGTACTATATTTTCTTAGCCTCAGTTTCTTCAGCTAAAAGAGACTGGTAGTAAGTAGTTCCAAAGTACATAAGTACATGGTAGGAAATTTAAAGGGCAATAATTTATTATGGATTTTCTGTTGTACCTCTTACTCTAGGATTCCGTTGTAAATTCCATAAAATGATATTGAGTATCTACTGTGTCTTAGAAGAATCAGCCAATGATAATAGTACTATGCTATATTTCCATATTGTATCATTGGAATATAATGGAGAAGAGCTTAATTTAGCTAGGGTAGCCTAGAGTATTAAACACTAAGTGAGAGTTAATTTTGAATATGTTGAGTTTGAGGTACAATGGACCAAAGTAAGGAAGTCCTGCAGGCAATTGAATAAAGAGGTCTGAAGTTCAATGAAGACATCAGGGTTAGAGACACATGCCCAGGAGTCATTGCTTCCTAGGGATGGTTGAATCCAGAAGCAGATTCGGTCTACCAGAGTGTATGCATGCAAGCAGAAGCATGAAAAAGAGAGTTTTGAGGAGGGTGGACAGAGTATTAAGAAAAGCTGATCAGCATTACAAACTGTTACAGAGTTGTCACATAACTAAACAGTATAGTGTCAGTCATTTAATACAAGCATTTTTGGTGAGATACTAGATGCAAAATCCACATTGGATGAGTCAGTGAGAAGTATGTTAGGCTTAATATAACCATTAACCACCTCTCATAAAATTCACCTTTCCAACACATAATAGGGTAAATATTGTAAGAATGAAACTTGTGCTTCCAAAATAATTTTATTCCCCATTCCTAATGCCTCCCAGAGCAAACCTAGAAATAGCTTTAAAAAACCAAAAAGTAGGGGCTGGCCAAGTGGCGCGTTGGTTAAGAGCTGGCTTGGGATGCCAGAGGGCCCTGGTTCGGATCCTACATATGAGGGCCAGTGATACTGCCCTCTACAGCTAAGATGCTGAACAACAGCTCAACCTGGAGCTGGGCTGCCATGAGTCCCCAGCGTCAGCGTAAGCTGCAGCCCCTGCTGCAGTGAGTTGCCATGGGCTACCGTGTGTAGCCAGCAGCCAGTGTGAGCGGCCATCCAGAAGCCNTTCACCATGTATTTTTGTAAACAACTTGATCACAGGGCTCCTGTCTCATTTTGTCTTGCTTGGCATGCTGCTGAGCACATAGTAGGCATTCAATTAATACATGTTGGCTGGTTAATCTAATGTCTTAAACATTTAAGAGTGGCTTTTCTAATTTCTTTAATTCTGCGCTGTGTTTTATTACTGTTGCCCATTTACAATTTTTATGAATCCTAATTACTCTTTTCTTTCTTTGAATACTAGGTGGTCGTGAATGCCCTCATAGGTGCAATTCCTTCCATCATGAATGTGCTACTTGTGTGTCTAATATTCTGGTTAATATTTAGCATCATGGGAGTAAATTTGTTTGCTGGCAAGTTCTATGAGTGTATTAACACCACAAATGGGTTACGGTTTCCTGACACTCAAGTTTACAATCGTTCCGAGTGTTTTGCACTGATGAATGTTAGTCAAAATGTGCGATGGAAAAACTTGAAGGTGAACTTCGATAACGTTGGACTTGGTTACCTGTCTTTGCTTCAAGTTGTAAGTAACCCCCTTCATGCATGAATGCTTTACATTTTAGTGGGCCCTGAATGAAGGATACATCATTATTTTAAATAATCTGTTAACTAGAAATGAAAGATAAAGTACTCTGTGTCTTTAAAAAGAGACTTGCTGTTTCTTAGAACATATGCATATAAAAGTGAGTTTAAAAAAGGCATAAGTTCTATTGCATTTGAGAGTTATTAATCTATAATTCACTTATGGGTGTCATTTGCACCATTGCACCATCTAAATAGTACTCCAAAAATGAATAGTTGTTTTTTGGACTGCCAGTTTTATACTATATGGGAACGGAGGGACTACCGCTAGCACAGAGAATCCTTAAGAAATGGAGGAAAATCGTCTCTGGCCTTTTTCATAAAACCCTCCTCTACCCCTGAAAAAAATAAAAGCTCATGTACAAAATTCTCAGGAATTGTAACAACCTGGAAATAACAAACTAGGAATAAGATTTAGAATGTGATTTGAGAATGTGTTCTTTTTGTTCTTGGCATAGCAATTTTATATTAAATTGATACTTTGAAATACAGTAAAACTTAGTGATTTTACATTGCTTAATAAATGTAACATTAAATGAACTAAACTCATGTATGGCTGCTTTAGAGTATGAGTTTCATATTCAGATTCTATAAATATTATATTTACAGGCAACATTTAAGGGATGGATGGATATTATGTATGCAGCTGTTGATTCTGTTAATGTAAGTACTGGTCAACATATAACTAAATTCTACAATTTTTAAAAGCTCCTTAGTTTAGTTTGGCCATTTTCAAACAGTAGCTCCAAGGAGCCCTTGGTATGTACACTCAAAATGAAGAACTTCCACCTAACAGTAGCCTAGTGATTACATGTGCAGCAGTTAGAGACAGACCTTGACTCAAATTCTGGCTCTACCTTATCGTACTCATACAAGCTATGCGACTGACTTCTTGCAAATTCCTTTACCTCTCTGAAGAGAGCCTGTTTACTGACTGTATAAAGAAACCAGTTCAATGCCTACATCATGGGATTGTTCTGAGGATCCAACAGGAAAATGCAAGTAGAGCACTTAACACAATAATACGTGCTCAGTAAAT